ATATCATAAAGGTCGATGTCGCCGTTCTTGATTCCGCCAATCAGGAGAATCTCGGAATCTGCACAAATTACGGTTCCCAAATCGGCGCGAGTTTCATGATGCTTCTGACTATCGTTGCTATGACACCATCGATCAAGCTCATCAAAGTTTCCCTTTGGATCCACATCCTTGCCCTCGTTGCAAGCACCATTCGTATGACGCTACTCGCTGTTTATTTCACCTCAAACTGGACCAACTTCTACGCTTACTGGGCCCAAGATTACTCTCGGATCACGGCTGGGGACTTCCACCGAAGCGTCGCAACGGAGACCATGTCCCTGATCCTACTGATTCTAGTCCAGGTATCGCTCGGTATCCAGGCCTGGGCTCTCGTCAACCTGCTGCCAAGATACTGGAAGTGGTTCTTCACGGGGCTTTCCTGTTTTGTGTCCACCGCCGCCATCGCTTGGCGTATAGCATTCAGTGTCATACAAGTCGAGGCCATCCTGCTCATTACGTTGCCCAACCCGGACTGGATCCGCTACCAAAGCACCATTATCGGCGCAGTTTCCGTATTCTATTATTGCGCTCTGTTCAACATCAAGCTTCTGATGCACTTGATCAAAAACCGTGGAATTCTTCCCACGAGGCACGGACTGAACGCAATGGAGGTGTTGGTGATAACGAATGGTCTACTCATGATGATCCCAGGTAAGCTAGCTCCGAGGGTCGCCACTTCAAGTAACCCGTCGTATCCCACAACTACCCAGAGAACCTGCTGACATACCGAGACAGCAGTCTTTGCCGCACTAGAATGGGGTCATTGGACTAATTTTGAGTCGGCTTCTGTCACGTACACGTCTGTGGTTGTGTTTCTGCCACTGGGAACCCTGGTTGCTTCTCGTATCTCAAGCAACACATCGCAAGCCGAAGGCCAGAGAAGCTGTTGCACATGTTCCAATACACCCTTGAGGCTGTGCTCTACGAGCGGCCTTTTCAACAACCATGGATGCGCACAAGGGGGAGTTGTCACCTCACATATAGAATCGTCACGCCCAGGTTACCGGGGTGACTCGGTCGATCCGATTGATGCCGAGTTGCAGCGCATCGAAGACTGCGAGAAGGGAATTATTCGCGTCAACCGAATCGTTGAACTCCACGAGGAACGAGTGTGATTACAGACAAACCTGGATATGGCCAGGCCTGGAGGAGGCAGCGGGCACTTTCAACACGCTTGACGAACAAATGTTTGCGATTTTCCATCACAGGAAGTCGTTGGGTATCTACTACTTTATTTAATTGAGCATTGAGAAGGATGCCGTTTACTTTATTACCTACGCAACCCAGCTAGCGTTCAGCAACAGCAAGATCTGTCCTTCCATTTATCAATAAGTGAGAACATTTGCTCTTGCCTCACTGAGCGCCCAGCCACAACTGGAAGGTCCGATAGAGGGTTAAGATCTGTCGCGGAAGGAGGAGATGGCGAGTCGCCGATGCGGCCGACACGCGACACCTCCTTGGATTATGCTTTCTGAACTCCGGCATACTATCCAGTCCAATGGACTTGTGAAGCCCCCAAAACTACCTGCCGCATCTTTGACTGCCTGACTTGCCCCAGAGCCTTCGCTACAATGAATGGAGAACCTAAGGTCCCGTTCGTTCAGACAAGGAACCAGGAAACCGAAGAGGTTGGCTATGATCTGAGGCCCGCACCCCTTCGACTGTCTCCCAGGAGCAGGGACACGCATGCACCTCGACTATCAAACGAACATCATAGCCAACTATACATGGCGCCTGCGGAGTATGGCGGCGAAGTAAAGTCATCCAAGATCTCGCCAGCTTGTGGTCTTGCTGCTATTGTGTCCAAGTTCGAGATTCTGGAGGCTATGACCAACCTGGAGAAGCCTGAGATATCGACTACTGTAAAGGCAGGTCCCAGAACGCCTCGCAAGATACCTCGACATCATTCGAAGCACATGATGGGCGAGAACATGGATCCAAGTCTGGAGTCTAGCCAATTCTCGTCTGGCGATATATCCGCCCCTGAATGGCATAATCATTATCGGGAGAGACAGTGGATGCCAGATACTTCCACATCTACAATGGTCAACACAAGATCCAGGGACAAAGGGCCAAGCACCGCGGTAGGGATTGCGACGGGGAGTATGCACAACATTGTAGCAGAGAGGCGGCAGATTTTTGAGTCTCGGACGGGTAAGATAATCCATTTTTCATGCTTTGGAAGACGATATCATTTACTGACACGGGCGTAGGGTGTCATACTCTGCCTAGCAAGTCTGCAAGCATGCCTTTCAACCTGTATGGCACTAGCCTCTCGGGGTCAAGCCCGCCGTTGACAATGAAACTACGGCGATCCAAGACATATTGGACCACAGCAATGGAGTCAGACAGCCTCTCGGAAGCCTCGAAATCCCAGATTGGGATTCAAAATGGACTTCAAAATACAAACAATCAAGCCTCGACAAATTCAAGGGAACAAATCGCAGCTACAGTAGATGTACAAGCCGGCGGCCACGATCCGCTTCTTATGCACAGCAGTGAGGCTCCAAGAAGCAGATCGAAGGCAACCACAGCAATCAAGCCAAGGAGCAAGCTGTTTGGTGCTATCGATGCACTGTTTTCGCGCGAGGCCAGCCTGCATTCGTCGAATGAACAGCTAGAGCTGCCTCCCAGTCCGAATATTCGATCAAATCAGGAGTCAGGGGAGGGATGGGAAAACGACGGTGTATTACAGTGTCCAGGATCAGTAGAGCAATCCTTCCCAGCCCAGATCCACGCCCCTCACCAAGCCCGCAGAGAAGCGGAATTCAACACCATAGGCAACGCCACCGCGGTCACGTATCCCAACGTCAGGGGAACGGTGATGAAGACTGTCCAGAGCCGGGTCACTAATCTACGGAATCTCTTGAACATGACTGCCAAGGAAGATGACGAGCTGCAACTCAACTTGCGTCTGAAGCGCCGCCACACTGGACCACAGAGAAACCAGTCCATTCATCGTTCTCATGCGCCAAATCATTCATTCGACTACGATCGCGAATTCAGGCTGGGTTTCATGGTTGATTCGCCTGACCCACCGCGATATTTGCGAGAATATCAGAGTGCCCGGGTCTCCAGAGATTCGACGCGATCCTCGCTGAAAGATCATATCAGCGCCTTCGAGTCGCTCTCTCGCTCCAGGTTCGAAATATCGGAACCGAAACGGGGAACACCGAGGAAATTACCGTTGACTCCTGCGCGCAATGACGAAAGAGAAGAGCACCCAGAGAGACGTCCTGTTAGTCGGCGATTCGAATTCGAAAGCCTAGGTTTCAAGCAAGGTCGGGAGGTTTGGAGGAAACTATCAGCATCTTGGGACAAAAGAAAGCCAGCTGATGATAGCCTCGACAAGCATGAAGACAGGCATGGCTCGATCGCCGCTTCTCCAGGCCTGCCGACGACTTCTCGACCACAGAAAGGGGAAAATACTACGGGTCGCAGGCTCGGCTCTTGGCTCCCAAAAATGGCCAAAAGTGCCCAAGATAAGACGTTGATCTCTGCTGCAAGCCTGAATTCGACGAGAGCATGGCAGCCAGACCTTCCTGCGCGCAAGAGCATGCCCGCAATAGCCACAGAACAAGACGGCGAGGTAGAGATTTCGAACCTCAAAAGCATTCCATGCAAGGAGCAGTTGGGAAATCTCCCAGCATGCACAACGGGACCGATCATCGAGACAACCTGCATCTCGGCTGAGATACCCGCTCGCACTGTTTGCGGTTCAAGATAGGACGTGAGGTTCACGTGCAATGAAACACCAATGAGGGAGGATGACCAGCGGAGCCCATGGAGAAACTCGTCGTAGCCAAGACTGAATGGGGTCTTCCTAAGCAGATGATCCCCATCAGTGGATGAGATGCAGAACGCGATCAATCTTGATGAGGAGACGGGCAGCATCGACAGAGCTGGAGCGACACAACGCATGCATACTCAGGCATTTCTAAATTGGGCAGGAGATAGCCTATGGTTGTATTACAAGTTGGACTGGCAGTAACGCGCCTCCAAGTGAGATGGGTCTGTAGGAACTACCAAGAGGATTTTGTGGTGTTTGCGCTCTTGGAAGTCGATGTGCGGCATCATTACTGCTTGAATGGGGGAGGCACCAAACGAGTCGGAGGCGGGGGGGTGAGTGTCTTTGGTGCGTTTCGTGACGACAGGCGTCAAAATTATATTTGATGCAGGAACAGAAGCACTATAGTCTAGCTATGCTGCTAGTCCCATCCCTTTTCCTATCTTGCGCACCAGTGCTTTCTTCAAATACCACTCTCTTGCTAAAGAGCGAGTTGTCTTGGCAAAAACTGCAGGTGATATACGACCACGCTCAACAGCACGGCCTAACACAAATATGGTATCACCTAAAGCCTTTTCTTCAGCCACAAGATTGTACAGCTGATTGGCTACAATGGTGGGAGCTACTAGCAATTCATCAATATCCGGGGCCGTTTGACGAGCGGAGCCTTCAATAACGGTGTCGGCCTTCCGTAGAGCATCAACGAGGATATTTGCGTTAGACTGAAGCAGGGCTGATGTCTGGCTGATAGTGCCCATCTCGGACTGGAGTGTTGAGAAGGCGTTCAGCATGGCTGTGCGTTGCGCTTGAAGGCCTGCCATGCTGTTCTCGTTCTGCTGGCGACTCCGTTGGCGAAGAGAATGGAGCGTTTGAGCCAGCTGATGCAAGAGTGCGTCCTTTTCCGGGTTTGGAGGAATTGGTGGCGCGGATACAGAGGATGGAGACGGAATGCTGAGGGTGAGAGGTTCATCGAGCAGATCGGGAGGGGGTGCCGCCTTGAGCGCTTGCTGCTGCAGTGGCGGGTGCTGTTGTGGGTGCTGTTGCGGCAGCGGTTGGTATTGTCCGGGAGCCGGTTGCCAGCCCGGGGGAGGCCCACCATACTGCTGGGCGGGCTGCGAAGGAGGCGGGACGGGTGCAGAATACCGATTATCCGAAAGGGATGACTGGCTTTGGGTCACGTCAGGGCGTGTCTGCTGCGACGGCCGAGGTGGGAGCTCGCCCGTTGATCGCGGAGACGGCGCCACAGCATGGTGCGGGTGTTGAGGGATGGCGGCTGGCGGTAGAGGTGGTGCAGAATCATAGCGAGAATAGCCTTGGCTCTGGGGCTGCTCCGGCTGCTTTCCGTGGAGGGCTGTGCGGTCAACACCCGGTGGTAGAGGTGGAAGAGGAGGGCCACTTCTAGCATCCAAAGGAGGCGGAGGGCTGCGATAAGGTGGCCCAGTGCCAGACGGTTTGGGCGGTGGTGGAGGAGGATGTGAATTGCTCACGGGCGTCTGCGTCGTCGGACGATGGGTTGCATGAGAAGGTAGGTCTGGCGGCAGTGGGGGCACGGGCGGTGGTGTTTGGCCGTGAGACTGCGAAGGAGAGGCAGAAACGGGAGGCGGCTGCCTTCCTTGGGGACGAGCAATGACGGGGGGCTCCTTGGCAAATATATCTCGGAGGATTGCTAGGAAGTCAAGAATGGTAGATTTCTGGAGGGGAAAGTGTCAGAAAGGCTGGGAGGGTAGGTGAGCAGGAAGGATGGATACACATACATCCCAGAACGCGGACCAGCCCACCAGGTAAGGGTGATAGACCTGGCCTTGAGGATCTACGTGTTGGCCAGGACGAACCATCATGGACTCGGTGGGGGTCACGTAGACCAAAGGGGCCTCTCGGGGATATGCGTGAGGAACCCATACTGAGATGGGGAATCGATATGTCGTGCCTCTGAAGATGACCGGTACTGTGCCTGTGAGGTGGAGGAGAAGGGCGGAGATGCCGGTATCGAAAGCTGGATGCGGTGTCAGAATCGATTGTGTGAGGCCGACGAGGCGACAAAGGAGGAGTAGAGGGGTCATACTGTGAACATCGGTTCGCGGTGACAGCGATGGGTACTGCGACAGAGCTTGGGCGACATCGTTGTATGTGCGGTTTACGTCATGGTACTCCTGTGATGGAACGGGTTAGCAAAGACATGACGGGGAACGAGAGGGGACAAGGCGTCATGTACGCTTGTGAGAACACTATAGAGCCAGTTCAGAACATGCTGTTGAACAGGCATGGTGATGTTCTGAAGGAGAGATCTGGCAGCAGAAACGAAAGTGTTCAGGCAGCGCGAAGAGCGGGGGCGGCGGGGGAATGCGAACGGTGACAATGCATGTCGGTAGCACGGGGTCGGATGCAGCGGTGCGAGTGCACCGCGAGGCGTGAGACGGCCGGAACAGACGGTCGACGGTCGGCGGTCGGGGATGGGGGCGGCGGACAGGTAGGGCGGAGGGGGGCGGAAGGAAGCAGTGGCAGGTGGTCGTTGGGAGATTCCGATATTGACCTTGCCCGGGATCGGGGGAGAGATGACGCAGTTCAGCTCCGTAAGGTAAGGTAAGGTACCGAGTGTTCGCAGGTCCTCTACGGTAACCTGGAAGTGGACAAGCGTAGGGGGAGGGGGCACCTTAGGCGCCTTACCTAATACTACCCAGCTCTGTTGCAGAGATCCTTGCTGCCTTTCACAGTGTTGGGACCTTGATGGACCGGGACGTATCGGATGTGGACCCGACTCAGTGGAATAACTTCGCTCTTATTCCCTGTGTCTAAGTGCTATCAAGATTGAAGTCTATGTTTAGTCTTCTGAAATTAACTTATGACGATAATTGCCTGTAATGCCTCCTTCATAGAAAAACCAACAGCAGCAAATCTAACTTGGAACGGGGCGTTGTTCTAATGACGTTAACACCGGTGGAAGATAGGTACTTGATGGACTATGGAACACCCGCTGGACCGGCCGGCCTCGGAGGCACCAAGGTAAAGCTGGATAGTGGTCGGGTCATGCAAGCATCGGACGATGCGGATGGATGCACAACTTCGATGAGTTGGAATTCTTCCACTTTCGATTGTCCGGTGATCCCGGTTGCGACTGCTTTCTCATATGTTCCTGCTCTTTACCCTTGACCAATCCTTCCGCCCCTTTGAATGCTCTAGTTGCTAAGGCAGGTCCAGTGCGCTACGGTAAATCCCGAATAATGTCCCTTCTTGGTTTGTAAGCTAAGAGAAGCCCGGGCAGAATGGGATCTGGTTGACAGGAGTCGTAGCCATCATTTCATCTGCTAACTGCGCTCCAAAGTCGACATGTAACCCACTTATGCTTGCTTTGCTGCATTGCCAACTTGCCGCAATCCCACGTCTGCGATCAGACGTTGCCGAATGTACCCCGCTAATCCGCAAAATGTACACAATGTACCGCCTACGTTTCACCTCGAGCGCCAGCCCCTCCCAAGGTAACAAAAATGTCATGTGTAAATCACTCAGCCTAAGCTAATGACTTACTTCTCCAAGACAGTGTTTTAGTGTACGTACCATGGATGCTGCCAGCCAGTTGTAGTCTCGAGGGAAGACCCTGGCCCCTTTTTTTTTTTTTTTTTTCTTCCACCATCCTTCCCTCCTTCCTCCGTCCAATCCCACTCAACAGAACGGGGACTGTTGCGCGCATTAATAAACGTCTTCTCTCGCAACTCTTCTTTCCTTTCTTACATTCCCACTCCCCAAGTTCGATCTCTCTGCTACTTCCCAGAAGTCTTTGTAATCCCACTCCGTTGCCCGATTGAATGCTCGCAACACCAAGGATCTTTCGCACGGCTGAGGAGTATTCCAGAGCCATTATCTGGATACTCCTTGCGTCAGGACCTTGTTAAAATACTGTCTCGAAAACACGCCACCATCAACTTTACATTGTGCCTCCACATAAGCCGCGCAGCTTTCTCAACACTCAATTTGTTGACTCTGAGCCTACGACGTTAACTCAGTCAGCTTCTATCACACTTCAATCTCTCCTACACTTGAGAGCTAAGCGCCGGCATTCATTATGCTTCCACCCATCCCCGTCTTGTCCGATTACGGAATCTCGCCAAAACATGGATTCCTTCCAGACGTTCTGCCGTTGACCCGACTGCCGGATCCCTACTATAATAAGTGGGAGGCAGTTGTTGCCAACCTTCAAGCTCTGGTTCTAAGCCGTCGCCTTCGCCCGGTTGTCGACCGCTTGCCAGTCCTCTCCACCATCGGTCTGGAACATGACGCAGAATGGCGGAGAGCCTACTCCCTGCTGTGCTTCATGGCACACGCGTATGTTTGGGGTGGCGATGAACCATGCGACCAGCTGCCCCCGGCCATTACCATCCCGCTCCTTGAGATTTCCAATCATCTGGAGCTACCTCCCGTAGCCACCTACGCTGCCCTCTGTCTGTGGAACTTCAAGCCTCTTTTCGTCGACGAAGACATCGATAATCTCGAGAACCTAGCCACCCTGAACACCTTCACCGGTTCGCTCGATGAATCCTGGTTCTACCTTGTCTCCGTGGCTATTGAAGCTCGCGGGGCTCCAATCATCCCGCTCATGCTGGATGCTGTTGCTGCCGCTCGCCAAGAAGATGCTGCCACCGTCACTCATAGCCTGCGTGCTTTTGCGGAACGCATGACAGATTTGACCAATATCTTGCAGCGCATGCATGAAAGCTGCGATCCCAACATTTTCTACAATCGCATCCGAATCTTTCTCGCAGGCAGCAAAAACATGGCTGAGGCTGGGCTTCCAGACGGTGTCAACTACGCCGACGGCTCCGGCAAGGAGGATTATCGCCAGTACAGCGGCGGTAGCAATGCACAGAGCAGTCTCATTCAGTTCTTTGACGTCATCCTTGGAGTTGACCATCGTCCGACCGGCGAGAAGCGTGATCCCTTCTCCGAGTCGGAGCGTGAGTCTCGAGCTCCTGTTCCGCAGCACAATTTCATCATGGAAATGCGTCGCTATATGCCAGGCCCGCATGCACGCTTTCTCAAGGATGTCGCCGGTGTCGCCAATATCCGCGAATTTGTCGAAAGCCACAAACAGGATCGTCAGCTTTGTCTGGCGTATGATGCTTGCCTGGCAATGCTGAGTGCGTTCCGTGATAAGCACATTGCCATCGTTACTCGCTATATCATTCTACCCTCGCGAGAGGTGCGCGCCCGAAGCAGGTCGAGAAGCCCTGAGGCCGCACGCCATCGAATGAACTTGGCCGTCGCTTCGCGGCAGCGCCAATCTAATGCTCAGGGAAACAACCTGGAAGCTACCGGGAAGAATAAGAAATTGACAGGCACTGGCGGGACCGCACTCATCCCGTTCTTGAAACAGGCGCGAGATGAGACTGGTGAGCCGGCCATCGAGGAATGGACTCGCCGCTTTATGAAGAGAACGAACAAGCCGGAAGGCAAGGGAGACTTCTTCCTGGGCAAGTCAGACTTGCCTGGTCCCGGCGTCGAAGTTGAGGTCAGCGGTCTGGCCGGTACCTGGACTGTGGATGATGATATTGGCGGCATTTGTCACTACTAACATGACTGACTGCCTCGCCGAGGACAACAGTTGGCGTGAAACCCAACGCGCTGCCATGGCTAGGTTTACGTAGTACCTCTTGAGGACTTTAATTCATGTTATACTTGTCGCATTATCCTCCACCGCCGAGACTGTGAAGTGTATCGTGGTGACCTGGTCTTTCCGTGCTCGTTACACTTGCCCATGAAGTCTGTGCGATGCCAGGCATCCTTTTTGCTAACAATAGTGCCGGATGACGTTGCGAGTAAAGAGTGCGGAGAGAAGCATATATGTTTCTGTTGGCGGACACTGTCAAATTTCTGGAGACTCTTGTATGGCTTTGGGCTAAGCAGGCCCCCACAGATCTTGTTGCGACGGAAACAAACACCTTGTTGTGGCCGGCCAATCAGGCCAGATATGGGACAAAAGCATCGAAGCTTGTGACGTTCGAATACTCATTTCGACCACTGACGGAGCCCTTGTATTGCCAAAAAGGATAACGCAGAATTCTACCTACATATTGTGCTGAGTGCACTAGGAATAACATACAAACTTTGAATACCTGCCATACTTATCCGGAATGGGCAGCAGCTTCTCTCACAGTCCGTAACATCGAAAAGCTCGAAACTGCCTAGATTCGCTTATGCATCTATGTGGCCGGTCCTATCCCACATCCAGGCACCACAACAGCGCGGAACGATCTTGATGCCATTACTTTGTAACAGCGTCACATGTACGCGGGGAGAGAGTGAGGTGAAAGTATGACTTTTTGGTCGACTGACACTGGTAAGAACCTGCTTGAAATGGCTTTGACATAACGACCAAGGGATGATCTGACCAACACTCGTTCAAATTCATGCGGTCATTGATAGATCATTGAAAGCCCCGATTCTTCATTAGGCAGTACAGTTGCGGGTAGCCATTTCGCTCTCATAGTCACTCTCGAGTTGGAAGTCTGGCATCTCGGATGGCGGCGGTCAAGACCTGTTGTTCACGCAGGTATCTGAGTCAGGTAAGCCACGTGACTGAGGAGCTCTTGTGGACCCCTACATAAGGTGGGTAGTGTAGCTCACTGGGTGGCGACAGTGCCTGCCTCAGTAGCAGTAAAGTCGGCTACCTAGTCCTGAAAGAGACTAGCGCGCCCCCTACCGCGTTCTGAGGACTTTGAGGCTACCCATCAACATCTTCTGCCTGCGACGAGACTGAAAAAAAAACACCACCCAGCGAGGCTGCTCTTGCTCTGTCTCGACCAACAACGAAATAACAACGACCACAACCCGCCTGCGTCGCGATCCATCGTACTCACACGCCCTTGAAGCACTTGATTCGCGAACGTTCGGACTTGTCTTTCGTCCCCCGGCTTGCGAATGCTCCTGCTGTGCGAGGGAGGCAAATCCGCCTGGGCTCTGTGTCGTGATTCTTAATCACCGTCGACTCCCTTTCGCTCCTCTTTTCGGATCGATCGCAACCCCGGCACCAAGCAAGCCTCGAGTCGCTTCCTTCAAATATCGCCCGGTTGGACCTCGTCCTTTGCCTCACCACCAACGTTCCTGCCGCCTCCGTACACCCAACCGTCGCGCATCCGTCACCAAATCACTTCAGCATCGGAGTGCTACATACGGCCTGCCCCCTAACCTACGAAAGCAATCTCAAAAGATCATACCCCGAAATACCTTCACACTCCGCCAACATGGCTGACGCATACGACGAATACGACTACG